TGCTGACATGCAGAACCATCATCACACAGCAGCAGAACACACACACACACACACACACACTGATACAGTACATAGGATGCACATCACATAAATCACACACACTCAGTGTTTTACCTCTGTGCACAGAGACGCTGCTGACTCTGACCGGTTGAGGAGCCATTCAGAACACACACACACACACACACACACACACACACACACACGCTCATATGGCAAGCCGATTTAACATTTAATGCTTAACACATACTAGTGCCTATTTTAATGCTACTAATACTTATCTTAAGATACTAGCATCTATTCCATTAAGTACTAGAGCTTATTCTTTAGGTACTAGCAACTTTTTAAAGATGCTAATTTCGTATTCACTAGATATTAGTGCTTATTTATTAGATTCTGGTACTTATTTCAGTAGTGACTAGTAATCAGTGTTGGGTACGTTACTTAAAAAAATGCTATTAATTACTAGCTACTAATTACATCTTCAACAATGTAATTAGATTACTATGTAAATTACTCTCTCTAAAATAGTATTGCATTACTTATTACTAATCACTTTCTAAATACCAGTTGAATTATACAAGGATAGACATGAACCTGCTCTCTAAACTCTTTAAAATAAATAACATAAAATTACATCAATTATTCCTGAACTTAACAAATATAGATTTTGATATTTTATATAGAAAAAATATCGTTTTATATAGAATCGTTCAATCGTCTATACAGTATCAAATGCAATTACATTAGAAGTAACTGTAATCAAAAAAATTAAGTTACAGTAATTAACTAATTAGTACTGCATTACACCCAACCCTGCTAGTAACTATTCTACTGTTACTAGTAACACGTTTCATATTTTCCCCACTGACTTCTATGTGGATCTGTCATTCAGTCTCAACTATTCAGCTCTGACTAGTATGTATTTCAGTAGCGACTAGTATCTTTGTAAGTATTAGCGTACTAGCAGTGTAGGGAGTAACTAGTTACATGTAACGGCGTTACGTAATTTAATTACAAAATAAATGTAACTGTAATCAGCAATTTAAAAAAAAATAAGGCTCTATATTATCCGGCCCTGCTGATTTTTTACAATCTAAATCTAATAGAGCTTTGTGAACTTGTGCTACTAAAATAGGAGTAAAAGTAAAAAGCTGAGTAGGATGACAAATCAACACTCCCTTTTGTTTTATGTTCTGCTAAATTACTAACATCAGAAGTTACAATAAAGTGACTATTAAAGGCATTAACAATATTTTCCTTTACCTTTAAATATTCAGGTAAACTAATAGAAGATTTTACCCCAGAGACTGATTTGGTCAATTTCCAAAAGTTAGTTGGACCATTCAGATTATCATTTATCATGTTTAAATACTAATCACATTTAGAGTTCTTAACTAATTTTGTACAATTATTTCTTAGTGTTCTATAACGTACCCAATCCAAATGTTATTTGTTTTCTTTGCTGTGGCCCATGCAGCATCTCGCTCTTTAATACGAGAAGCGATTAACTCGTTGAAGCAGGGATCATCGCTGCCTCTAACCCTAATTATTTCAACAGGAGCATGTTTGTTGCATACATTTAAAAAAGCACATTTAAAATACTCCCACGCTAAATTAACATCGGATATCAATGAGACCGTAAATAAATCACTCTCTTAAATATCCCGCAAAAAGGCTTGCTCATTAAAATGTTTAAATTGACGCCGCAAAATAATACGTGGTGAACTTTTTAAAATCCTACATGGTCTCACACATACTATTGCACAATGATCACTAACATCGTTACAAAAAACTCCAGTTGCAGAAAATCTATGAGGAGCATTAGTTAAAATAACATCAGTTAGCGAAGATTTATTTGGATCTTTTTGATTTATCCGGGTTGGAGAGTTAATCAATTGCTCCAAACAAAGAGAGTCACAAATGTGCTTGAATGGATCGGATATTTTTGATGTCCAATCCCAGTTTAAATCCCCAAGCAAAATCAGCTCTAAGTTGGTCCAGTTGTGAAGAAGATCGGTAAGTGAAGTGATCGCTGACGGTGGACGAGAACCTCCAATCACAATGATATCGGGACCATTTGAAAATGATAATTGAACTGTCTAAAGGTCAAAACAGTTTGGCTTGCTGCTACAGTTTAACGTCGACTTAACATAAATTGCTACTCCGGCACCTTTTTTTGTGCGATCTGATCTGTAGACGTTGTATCATGGAGTTTATAATAGATTTATTAACCATGTCTCGGAGAGAACAATAATATCAGAGTTCGTTGACTCAGCCCATACTCTTATGAGGTCTAATTTATTTACCATACTATGCACATTAAGATGAAAGAAGCGCAAACCGTCGCTGTTCTTGGACTCATCTGGAGTTTGCTGCTGCACCTGCTCTGGGCCTGGATTAGGGTGAATATTGCCCGATATTAAAAGCAGAAGAAAGACAAACCAGCTTTTCCTCAGAACCGGCGGTCGGATGATCACTGCAGTTGGACGTTGCATAAGGAGCCAACTTTCTT